TGTGCCGATGATGGCACATGCTAATCCATGCACCAATCGTGCTGGCAACACAGCTCGTCCAGATCACCAACCAAACTAGTGTACGGATCGTAGGTAGCTGTTCTTAGATAGATGGCTTCGTGGGTTGCCCCTCGCTTTATCAAATTCAGCATGTGCTAAAACTACGATATCCTCCATTTCACAAAACACTAGGACCTCAAAATATTTTTGTAGTAAAATTTGGACATCTCCCCTGTTTCGGAGGTATAGAGGCACAATGGGTAAGCTACCCACCTGGGTACGCTCCACAAAACGGCTCTCCTCGAATCAACTCGGAGAAACATGAGAAAGTATTGGTATTAAGGTCAATCTGCGGGCTAGGGAGGCTTTTTCATTGGAGCATTTCTTCAGCATTCATTTCAATAGAGTTCTTTTGGGTTTGGCTTATCTTTTACATATTAAGAAGTGCTTTTATTAGGAAGTGCTAGATGCATTTCACAGCTGTCGGAGAAACAAAATTCAGTGGTAGGAGAACTTCGGTGGCGGATCCCAGATGATTTTGGCAGCATTGTGCAACAGGGCTGTACTCTCTCCGGCTTGTGTATCGAGTAAGCGAATTCTAGGACCAGGAATGTGCTTGGTGATCACTTTCTGTCACTTCTAACCGAAAACGCTAGTGGAATTTCATCTTCATCCACGACAACGTCACCATCAACAGCACCTGATCCGTTTACAGCACCTTTGGTTCGAAGAAATCATGTTGTACATTCACTCGCATGCCGTTCGGATCTAAATTTTACAGAACTCCTCCGGAGTTCCTTGGAGGAAGATCTACGTTTTCGGCAAGCAGTAAAATATTGTGGAAGACCTCTTTTGTGCTATTGAGACGTCACGTCACCGTCCGATGTTCTTCCTCTGCAGAAAGCTCAAATCCTGCATGCACATTGCTGAGCTATTGTGCTTTGACTTAACATACTCAGAATCCCAAATGAGTCGGCAAGAAGGATGAATTCCACTGTTAATGTTTCCTTGCCCAGGGTGCCTTTCCTCTCTTAAAAATTTAGGGGATTCAAAAATTTCTTACAAAAATGTTTTAGGTCATACAACTCCTGAAATTAGATGAACCATAGTTTCAGAGCATGGCGAATTCAATGATGTAGGTAGCATGCCGTTGATCTTTCATCCTAATACGGAGCAGCAACTTTTAGGAGAGCATTCATACTTTTGAAACGCACTGTCTATGATCATATCTCTAAATGTTCTGGTCAAACTCGTAAATAAGCCTCTTAACAAAATCAAAAGCCCCTATGGGCCTGACTATGAAATCTCATCCCAAACCTTTGGGGCACTGATCGCAATTGGATCCTTAGAAGAATTCTCTCGTTGAGTGAGGTAACAGTCCCCTAATCACATGGTCGATGGTACTGCTACGACTTACAATTGCGCGGCAGGAGAGCTAATGCCTTCGCTTGACCGCTGCGACCGCTGCCATCCTTATCATCGCAGCATACGTGGCGTCTGCGCCCTCTCGCGACGTGCTCTCTCGCGTTTTCCCTCTCCTCGCAGCGCTGTGTCTCTCCGTCGTACCACGGTCGACCTCACAAGAAAAATTTCAGTGATTTATGGTGCTTTTTTCTTTTTTTACCCTATTAACGTCCCTTACTTCTTGCCAAATTTTCGAGCACCAATTGGATACACCCACGCCTATGAAAAAGCGTGATTTATCTTTTCTCTTACATTCTCGTAAGCAATTTCTCGATAACGCGTGTTTTAGCAACTGAATGAAATAAGGTTGGATAACATCCAGTCGATCTGAAGTAAACAAACATCAAAATAAGTATAGCACAGACCGATGGTGGACGGCAGTCCGTTCAAGAGCCTGGTAATTCTTTCAGGGTGGGGCATAAATATGGTGGCAGGTTGAGCTTTGAGACGTGATTCTCAGGTTTTGTGGCCCAAAGATCTTCATTTGGTTAGTGGTATATGTAGTCCTTGTGTGGCCAATCGTATCCTGCAGATGCGTCGCAAAATGATTTATCCAATTGTAAAGCGTGGTGAATTCGCGTCATCGTCGTTAAAAGTTCTCCAGCGAAATTCACACAAAAAATGACTAATAGGAATGAGCGTTGATCAGTTTCAAGTACAACAAATTGTGCGACCCGTGCCTTTAAGTCCTCCTCATCGACTGTAATTCAAAACTTCTCTCGTATTTGCGAAGTGTTCCCGAAGCTGAGTATTATCGAGGGCTCCCGCTGAACTAAAATAGAAACCGGTAAAAAAAGGTTGAAGGCTTAGCAAATCGTCAATCAAGTGAGTATCCGAAAATTCGGCCACCCTAGTATCAGTAGGGCCACTCGACTGGCAAGTCCCGTCTATTATCGAATTAATTCTGTTTTAGCTCGCTATTTGTTCATCAAATCGTTTTCCACTTCTTCGCTTAGTTCAATAATCACTTTCCCGATTGAGTCCTCCTTGATGCTGCCGTTGATCCCGCTTTCATGTGCTACTTCTTTTATTTACTTTGGCTAGTCTATTTAAGAGTAGCTGGCCTGGTTCCAAAAGCTTCGGACGCAAGTAAACAAGTGAATAAAAACAAGTTTTTTACTTCTGTTGTTTTCGGGGACGTTCGAGTAAAGACCTATAATATTGGTGGAAAATTTTCAAAGAAAACTTTCGTAAATTGGATGTTTTGCAATGAATCGAGTCGCCACAAGGCTTGCAATTCATGTATTTGGTGAGGTGAAAGCCTTAGAACGAGCCGTTCTGGTCATTCAGTCAGGTAACCTCCTTCCATTAACGGCTGCAAAATTTTCTATGTGGTTGATATTGAAGCTGGAAACTCGCAAATACAACTGCTCGATTAGGTCGTTAAAAGCTACTCTCCGAAAGGGGTGAAATCCTCTACAATTCCGGTGGGAGGAGTCAGAATCTGAGTCTCTGCCATGTTTTATGAATACTGTTCACTGTTACTTTTTTCGATAAGGTCCGGCATTGTCAAATTTGATATAATAATTCGATATATGGACCACAATTATTCTGTCACCATATTTACAACCCAACCTGTATGGTTTAGCGCTGATCGCAGTTTTAGGGTCAAAAACCACACCTCACGCACAGAATTTTGATACACTTTGTACACTGGCCGAACGTGAGAAATTCAACAAAAACAGTGTTCCCTAAATATTACTGAAGTACCCTTGAACGCAGTCGTCTTCGTAAAAACATTGACATTCTCTCCTGCTCCTCTAGAGACATCACTGCTCTTCGTCTCACTCGGCGTGGAGGCTCTTGAAGCTCTGAAAACAGCAACACTTCAACGATATTGTGAGTGTGCACGTTTAGGTTGGGCCACGCACCTCCGCATCGCGCGCGACGCGACAAAATTGTGCGGCTTTCTGGCGTGGGAGACTTCCGCGTAGATTTATCGCGCGCGGTGAGCGGCAGTTCCACGCGGCCCATGTCCCTACCAACTACCCGTGTTCTGATAGTAATACAATTTGGGGCATTACTAGTTACTTCAATGTAAATAGCAGTCTTACAGTAGCGTAAGGCTTCAGGTGGAAATTGTTTGTTGCCTACGGATGGGCGTGTGTGGTCAACAGCGCACCCTATTCAAAGCAAAGCCCTATTATGGACTTCTACCTAGCTGCCTTTCCTGGTAACGATCTTGTTGCCTGCTGCCATATTGCTACAACCAACGATTTGTCATTTACAGTAAGTCACTTAGGTAAGAGGACGGCACACGCTACATGTACCTCCCACAACCTGATTGATTGGCTCACCCCCTTGGCTCGTCAAGTAGGGTCTCCCTCATCATCTCCCCTCCCCCAGGGTTTTTTGCATGCTTAGTGTGACTGCTCATGTCATCTGACAGGAGCGTGCTATGGTTTGTTCTCAGAAGAAATTCTCGCTGTTTCGAGAGGCACCTTGGAGGGTTCTACTGGTACCCGACAGTGAGCTCATCGCGCAGCGAGAAGGCAGAGACGCAGAGGGGTCGGCGGACGAGTTGCAGCGGGTGTGCGTGACTATTCAATCGTGGCGGTGGCTAGGTCGCCGCGCCAGCCGCCGCAGCCTCGCGATGTCGCGTCGGCTGATGGTAGAAGTTCGGAATTCAAACATTGGGGAATGTAAGATTAGACGAAGTTTCCAGTCATGAATGGGGAATCTGAATCACTTACCCCCTTTAAATGAGGTTCCATGTCTCTTGCCATTATTTATAAACTTATCCTATCATGCTAATGCTGTTGGTTGGGTCAGATTATCACTCTCTGGTAGGAATGCGTGCAGTTGACTGATAATGAAGGTGAATTAAGTTCAAAAAGACAACATTTACATGGTAGAAGCTTTGTATTGGGAGGCTTATGCGTTGAGACTTGCTCACAGTCCTGTCTGCGTCTCTGCCTTCTCGCCGCGCTTACCAGGTACCAAAAATATCGCACATAGAAGGATAGCGGAAAATTCGAAACTTGCTCACCATTAGGCGACGACGAGTCGGTAAAGTCGGGATCTCGCTCACAAGCGCCTGAACGCGTCATGTCTTGCCTAAGCCCTGGTCGGCAATTACATTTGCCGAGATCACAGAACTGAGCCTCTTCTGGGCAGTCGTCGTCAAAATCGCAGGCTGGAATGTGCTCATTGAAAAAAAAGAGCGGGTTCACAGAAAATGCGGAATTTATAGCACGAACCAAGCGCCTGCCAAAGGCATTGACAGTCTTGACAACCTTGTTCGTTGATGTAAACGAAACAATTCTTGGTGCACATCACTGGCACAGGACAGCCTGAAAATGCTAACGTTAAAGCGAAAATATAACTAATTGTAAAAGGTGTTTAGACGGTTTCCATGACAGTGCGGGTTTGCGAGGTATGCAACTTGCTACCTTCGACTGCTCCACGTTTGGGAGGAAGACGAGCAAGAAGAGGAGGAGGTGTTGGAGGAATTAGAGGAGGACGAGAAGGGGGATGAACGCCTGTGCTTTCTTTAGTGAATATAGCAACACTGTCAGATTTGTCTGATTGGGAATCTAGGGAATCTCGCGAGTTCCATTTCTTGAAAGCATTTCCACATCCAGAATTTTGCTGAGAATCGATGCATCCTCATTGGTGTGTAGTTGCTTAACATCTGAGGCAAATTCTTGCAGTTGCTTCTGAATCTCAGGGTGATTTTCGAGACGGTCCTCCGGATCTCCTGAAGATTCACATGGTTTTTAAATGTTGTGAATAAGTGCTTAAGCAATCAGTACTTTTCCACGATCCAATGGAAGTATTCTCGGATTTCCCTCGATCGATCCCGTTGTCCAATGAGAGTGGAGGAAGGCGGAGCTGTCTCTGCTGTCCATTGAGCAACTTCTCTTCCAATTCCGTGTGAACAGGGTTAGATTTCAAGTCTTTAGGATTGCTCAAGGTCTCCGGAGTGTTACTATCGGTACTGAATGATACTCTAACCACTGATGAGTTCCTTTCATCGCAATGTCGACAGAATAGACCTGCATTGACTTCACCCGAAACCCGTTCTATAGATTTGTGTTTATCACGGTGTCCAGAACCTTCCGAGTTGTCCGTAATGTCGTCGTCATCTGGGTCAATTCCCGCTGCACTGAGGCCAAGTTTCTGCTCTCCAGATGACTCCATTTCGTCCGTGTTAAGCTCCTCAAATAAGAAACATCACTAATTGGCTTTGTTTTGCATACTGTAACAGTCGAACTGACCTGTCTTTTTGACAAATGCACAGCGCTATCGGCAAAAAGATCCCCATAGGTTGATGTGGATGGATTTGGTTGATTTTCGATAGAATCCGCTGCTGCAATTACAGAGTTTGTGAAATCTGTAATATCTGTGAAATATTTGGGAACAACGTTATGACGTCATCAGTAGGCGTGGCGTGCAAAGTCATGATGAAATGAGGCTAAAGTTATTTAAAGGTAGGTGGCTTCGGTATGTGTTCGACGGCATAAGCACGAAAAAATGAAGAAAAACAGTAATTTATCGATTTTTACACTTTATGACCAAGGACGTCATCAAAAATATAGTGCAATCAAAATAAAAAAGTAACAAAAATATAAGCTAATGTTGTATATGAAAAATCATGGGCAAAAGCGGATATGGACGAACTTTTTCTATCAAGATATTTCTGTGGAAGGCGATGTAAGCTATCCTGTTCTCCTGGTGGCTGTGGAGCGAACGATGGAGGTTTCACCTCTGTTGTAGGAGGCTTCAAGTCTGAAAAGGGTGGAATGAGAAAGATTCGAGAACTTCGTGAGAAGCGGAGAGAAGCGTTCCAGTTGAAGGTTTCAAATGATTGCTAGATGCCCGGATTTTTTTTTTGAAATTTTGAAATTTTTTTATTTTTGAACCCATTTACTGGAACTACGCCAAATATTTATGGGGAATTTATGAAACGGCATGTGTCTGAGAAAGCGATGGCCATGACGTATAAAGGGCTTGATGTTGATCGATTCCGCGCCACGTAACCTACTTACACGCAAAACCGTAGTGGTTTTTGAATAGGCTACACAGTGACTACCAGCCGATAAACAAGTCGGTGTTTTGTCCTCTAAAATGTTAGGTTCCACCTGGTGTAATTCTTGGTTGCCGTTAATGAGATTCGGTCCAGGATTAGGTCTCGTATGCGCATGCCACAATGCCACACACCACATCCGCCTAATAATGATCACACAAAACAGGTACTCGAAGGTAATTGTAGACTAAAAATTGCAGCTGTTTAGAAGTCGCTTCCTTCCTCGCTGCTGGGTCCTCTGGAGGATGACCTGTATATTCTCGAAAATACTACACGAAATTCCGCTGCGATTTTGGAACACCAAATACCGTGCCCGCTGCAAATGAGGGGGGGGGAGGTGTGTTCAGCAGCCCATGGCCACGTCGGCACCTTATAGCTGCTCACTGCTTGCCCTCTATATAGATCAAAGGAGTTCTTCACGGAAAATTCTTGAATGGTTCCCCAACATGTACGTCGGGTGTGTCACTAGAGGCCACATAGAGTTTCACACAAAAAAAGGACAGTTTCCGAACAGAAACGTACCAGAGAAAGCACCCTGTGGGGACGGTCGCGGGTAGGTCGGGCGGAGACAGGGGAGCGCATGGAGGGAAGTGCGCTCTCGGCGGCCACGTACATATTAGACGACGCATTGACAGAATCAGAATTTTTGTTTCTCTTCTTATCTTGAATGATGGGAATCAAGCTAGCCGATATACGAGAGAAGACTCGTGATTTTCGTTGCGCATTGAGAATACATTGAGTGTTTCCTAAGCCTTATAAGGTAGTATTGCCGTTACGAAATCGCCCGTAAACCTCAACGACCTCTTACTTACGACCACGCCACAACTCGCTTTATCTGACCGCCACACCATGTTCAAAGACGTCACAGTATAGTTTTACGACACATCGTGGCCTTGTACTACGGTGGTTCATCGAATACCAGCACTTGGGGGAGGCAATGAAAAAATGATTTTTCCTCTCACATTTTGAGCAGAATCATTCGCACATCTCTAAAGTAAAATCGAAGGGTCCCAACTGAAAACTGAATAGCGCATTCCAGTCCATTGAAATTTCCATCGTAGCATTCCACACTGGTGACATCAGAAGAATTTCACGGGTATATAGTACGAGGTTCAAACTCAGAAAGGTTCTCACGGATCGTGTACCATCGCGATGTAGTCCAGGGTGAAAATCGTGTCGAGGACATATAACCGCACTGCTTACGAGCTAACCACACTCTGATGAAATAATGACAACAAATAAGTGCAGAGCACCGTTGTTCCGTATGATGACCCTTTTTGATTAACGACGCCCTCCAACTCTCTATCGAGATACCCCCGGTTCCTCGACCGTATCCCTCTATATAGCCTTAAAGCTTCAAGGAAGAAGGGTGTCTTGCACAGTCGAGCTCCTGTTCCTGGGAAACCGTTCTCCAGCAAATCGATGGCAGAAATTAGGTGGCAGCTTCAGGATAGAGCAATTATGTAGGCCTTCTTGAGTTCGACGGCAATGGCAGACGACGCCATACTGAAGATGGTGAGGAGCGCGTACAGGAGCCAGCTTACCTATGAAGGGGCATTTGAGGAATTATGTTGGGTAAATTTCCACCAAGGGTGACAGTTTGTGCTGAGAAACGTTTGCTATTTTGCATGGGCTAAAGGCTTTTTTTACCCACTCTAATGAAATACTAGTATCAAATCAGGCGGAAACAGGGTGAAGAATTGATTATTGATCCATGGGTGGCCGCAGTGGCCCATCGAGTTCAATGTCCAAGGTTCACACAGGTGTTGGCGCCAGACCACTGAGGTGTCAGATCTACACTTTCGAGATCATGAACTCATCACGATAATGTGTCTATTGGAAATTCACACTGTCACTTACAGATGAGTTCGGAGGCCGATAAACTAGTACAATTCTGACAACTTCCGGAAGTAATGAGTCAATAATATCTTGGCATAGAATATCAGATATCACTTGACGAAGGATGCCTAACGTGGGTCAGGCCTATTGCAGAAGACCCACCGCTCGGCGAACGGTTGAGATTCAGAGGCAATTCTGGCTACTTTTGTAGCTATTCAGAGTCAGTCGAACTAATCAGCGGCGGTTGCGTCGAGTACAATTGATTTCACGGCTTACTCTATCTAGAAAGTAAACATGGTCATCTGATTCTATAGTATTATTCCGGATTGGGGATATTTTACCCAGGCATAGTGACGAAGGAGTGGAAAAGGCCGGAGGGTATGTACATCTTGTTTCCGGAAACCAGATTTCGTCGAGTGCAGACCACACACCACAAGTGACGACGGCCTCCACAAAATGTAATGTTTTCTGCCAATGAAATGATTAGCCGGTTGCAGTTGTATTCTATCAGTTGTCACTAATATCAATTGCAGTTGTATTCTATTTATCAGTTGTCACCCACAACTACCATTTACCAATTACCAATTATCGCTATGAATCAGTACTTACCAGATTGCCTTTGAGGCCATCGTCCCTTGTGGGGTGTGGTCTGTACTCAACGTGAATATGTTTCTTGGGAACAGAGGGTTGCATCCATGGGGTACCGTGTAGTGCTTCCTCATCAGCAATCAACCGCAAACAGATACGAGTCTGACTCACTGCAGAACCTCGGTAGCCTTCCTG